CTGCGCTCGCCGCCCCTGCGCTGCCGGGCTGCGGGCGGCTGCGCTGCGGGCTCCCCGCGCCGAGCCCGGCGCCTCGGTTTAGGGACTCGGTCTGCTTGGCCCGTCATCGTCCTTGGCGGTAAGAGGAAAAAGGATCCCTCTCTGGAGGGATGTGTTTCTGGAGATATTCAAACCCCACCTGGACGCCCCTGTATTCCGTGCCCTAGGTGACTGAGGCATGGCACGGTGTTGGACTAGATGATTTCCAGAGGTCTCTTCCATTCTGACTATTCTGATGCTCTGTGAGTTAAGGTGTCTTTGGGAGTATTTCTGAGCGCGTAATTAGTCAGGGTCTCGGTAAGTGGAGTGAGTTAGGGCGAGCTGAGGGAGAGCCAAGGTGTTGGCATGGTGGAGGTGCCTTCCCTAACTGGGAGCAGTGGTTTACTAGGGCTGTGCACCTGTAATTTACAGCTGGCAAGCCCTGGTGTAGTTTAGAGTCCATGAGTTCTCTGACTACAGACTTTTTCACTTCTGTAAGAATTTAGTTCCTGTGTTTCCCGAGTTTCGTTTCTCAGAAAAAGATTGACCGGTTTCACTTTCTCAGAAGAATCTAACCAAGGAACACGCGAAGCACTTTGTTTTCTTTTATGTACTATGTATTTTTATGTATGTCATTAATATTCTTGTCTTTATAGTAGTAGGAGAGGAGGAGGAGCTGGGATAAAATAAACTTTCTGTTACCATTTTTCATTGTATCTGGAAAAGGATCTCAGTGAGCAGCCTGATGTGATTCAGGGGAGCTGTTTAATCCTGAAAGATCCTGTTCTACTGCTCTTGAATTGATTTTTTTTTTTTTTAGTTAGAATATTCAGCACTATGTTGTGTAGTGTGAATACATCCATGTTCAGTGTTATGCAGTAGGGCTTTTGTGCAGGCCTTGTGTACATCATCATTATTTGTATCTCTTTCCCAGCAGCAACAAAGTTGTTCTGTGGTTTAATTGCTTTGGGTGCCGTTTAGGGCAGCCGGTGTCCAGGGCATTACTGTCAGAATCATAGGTGCT